CGGTTTAAGGTTCAAAAAACACATTATTTTCCACATACTGTACATTATTGTTTCTCCTCTATGCCCCGCCTTTCCGCCTTTCTCGATTTTTACAAAGCTCATCGGTCTGAAAAGTGAGATGGGCTCTGATTGGCCAGCTATTCAGTGCATTGTGATTGGTCGAATACCTCAAGCGTGTGACGGAAATGTTACGCCCCTTACCATACTGTGATGCCCTGTCCCGATAACAAGCCGTTTTAGGTAGGCGTGGTTGACTCTTAACTTTTATAAAGAATATCTCTTTGGATTTGAGACTTTAGTCTTTGCAACTTTACAGATCTTCTTTATGCACCAAGAGCTTGTATCACTCCAAAGAGAAAGGACAAATTTTAATCGCATCATATGACCCCTTTAAGTTCTGCATTTACATCTGCAAGATGTATTTTTTAGAGTGTTTGCTCATCTGTAATACGTTTCCTATCAGATGTCAAATAGACATTTAGAAAATGTCTTTAAGATGTTTATTATTTATATGTAACGCTGACATCTTAAAGACGTCTATCAGATGTTTAGATGCTTTCCAGATTAAGCGATCTTTAGCAGACATTTTGCAGACGTACACGTGCTATCTGGGAATGCAGACGTAAAATAGACGCCTCCGTGATGTACGTGTGCTATCATTAAGTCACGGAGCTTCTCTTTTTTACCAGATCCTTTGAATGAAACAATTGTCGAGGACATGCATTTAAGCTTATAAACGTATCAAAACGTGCTGTCTTAACATCATGACATGAGGTGGCTACTCCCCTCGATGTTTTAACAGTGAAAGTTATCCAGTAATCTGACAGTGAACTTTCCGGAGACGTCAGTGTTGATGAAGTGCCTCTGGCGCTCACCGGATTCCACGAGCACCTGTTCACGAGCCTCAAAACAAACCGGCCGCACGCGACTCTGGAGACCGTTATTTGCGACACGGAATAGTTTGACTTCCCCCTTTTAACGCTTTAAACTTTGTCTTGTGAGATACTGGAAAATGATTTCTTTCAGGACCCTACGACTGACTAATGTCGGAGTTATTGGCTTACTGGCGAAACACATCGCAAAAAGCAGCTCAGCGTGTCACAATGTGGTGAGAAGGACGTTCAGTTTATCTTCGCGGATTCACGCGAGCCAAGAATTTATCGCTCCCGCTTCCGCGGAACAACCTACATCTAAAAAGTGAGTCACTTCTACAATAAATGAAATAGTATAGTATAATAAAAATGTTTGATAACATTCTTATAAACTAAAATACAATATGTTTGGTGTTAGTAGCCTATGTGTAATTTTATTTTATTAAAGCAGACACGTGACCAGTCTGTTTTGTGGACTAGAGGACATGCTTTTCTACACTATAACTGAAGGAGCAGAGAAAGTTCCTGTGTCTCATTTCATTTCTGTGAGTTTATTCATTGACACATACATACAGAATCATATCCAATAACAAGATTTAAAATTCTTTGCACTAGCAGTTTTCCAAGTCTCTATATATATATATATGTATGGGCAACAGCTGGGAGCTGCTACATTTACTCAGTTGCATATTATAGGCTCAGTTACTATCAACCCCCTACATGTTTCTTCTGAAATCTGATTCGGTCATGAGAAGTCCGGACCAAAACACACAAACGTTTATCTAGACTTTGTGGAACTGGTTTGTGTCATCGTTTATGTAATCATTTATAAGTAAAGTCAATAAACAGTATAGTATAATTAAATTTTTTTTATTGATTAGATAAAATCTTATACAGTTTGCCAGCATATCGAATTTATGTTTGATTATTGTATTTTTATAGTCTTGTTTTGTTTACATGTATATACACTAGTGTTTAATTAATGTTTGCACAACAAATGCATTGCACAATGGCATTACACAAAGTAAACTGAATGGTTGTGAAAAGACAGAATGGTATTTTCCCCATTTTACAGGCAGTGAAAAGCACTGGCCTACTGACCTCTGACCCCAGATTACGGGACTGCATGGAAAAGATTCGCGAAGCTGTCCGGGAATCAGCCGGTGAAGTCATGATGGACCTTGAGCTGTTCCGAAAGTGAGTATTCAGGCAATGCAGATTTGCAAACTTCCTGCAGATGAGGAATATTTGGTAGTTTACTAATTGCGAAAATGTCTAACGTCAAAACAGGTGTGTGGGTGGCAACATAGTCCTGCTGAGTCTCGCTTTCAGACGGAAGTTTATCATTCCAGAATTTGAGGCATTTGTGGGCATTATCAATCATATTTACTACACATCAAAACTCCAACAGGATGGACAGGTAGAAACCATATTTTCAATCCATTTTCCTTACTTATTTGTGAAGTTGGACTTACTTAGAATCGTTTTCAGGTTGCAAAATACATTCCCCATCTGACCAAGTTTAGTCCTGATCTTTGGGGCGTCTCTCTCTGCACAGTGGATGGACAAAGGTAAATAGATAAATCTGACCCCAACTTTTCTAAAATATGCAGTGATGGTTTTTAAATCACCTCTTGGAATTCAGACACTCAGTGGGAGACACAAAGGTGCCGTTCTGCTTGCAGTCGTGCGTGAAGCCGCTGGAATATGCCATCGCTGTACACGAACACGGCACAGAGCGTGTGCACCACTACGTTGGGAAGGAGCCCAGTGGATTCAAATTCAACAAACTCTCCCTGGATGAAGAAGGTGGGTGGGAAAATGTCATAGATTATCATTATCAAACGAGTTGTGTAGAATATCTTATCAGACAGAACGTTTCTGTACTGAGAATAATCTCATTAGAAAAAAAAAATCTAAATAAATGTATTATTCTAATATATTTAAAAAGCAATAATGACTTAAAAATGAATAATAATTTATTTTAATTTAATTTAAATAATTAAATGAGCTGATGCTGTTTTTCTGTTCTTAGATAAACCTCACAATCCCATGGTCAATGCTGGAGCAATTGTCATCAGTTCACTTATTAAGGTAAACAAATAAAAATAAAAAAAAAAATTTTTTTTTTTTGGGGGAATTTGTATATAAATATTTTCTGGTGAATTTGAGTTTGGTGTCAAGTTGGTTTGCGTTAACAGTATTTGCTTGTTTTCTGATAATCAGCTCTGCACGACTCCCTAACAAGCACTGATATATGCACGTGTATTGACATGCGGACTGGGCCAAGATTTAATTTGATCTAACAAACCTTTGACCCAGAATTCAGCTCTGTGTGGACAGACCCAGTGCATCTGTTACACGTGTAGCAGACTGACCTTGTGAAGCTATGAGCGGGAGTATTACTGGTCTGGACTGAATCCAGTCTATTAAAAGTTCCCTTTACACTAGGTGTATGTGACTTGTGTTTTCTAGGTTCCCAGAGTTCTTCAATACAAGCTAGAATACGCAAAAGTATTCGGTTGGTAAATTGTACTGTTGTTTTTCTCATTCTCTACAGCCAGGTGTCAACAAGGCCGAGAAGTTTGACTATGTAAGTTATAACCTGTTGGATGTTGCCATAAAAAAAAAAACGTAGTGCATACGGCTTTTCAGCTATATTATAAAAGTCACTGAGTATCTTTTTATTTAAAAAAGACTGAAATTAGTTATTTACCAAAGTTGTTATTCCTTGAAAATATATGCCTTTTTGGGTATATATATTGCCGTTATCCCAAAATGGACCAAGTGTGATTTCAAAATCTTGACTGTTAGCTAATGGCTGTTTGGGTCTCTTTCACAGGTGATGGAGTTTGTGAAGAAAATGACAGGCAGGGAGTATGTGGGCTTCAGCAACGCAACGTATGTCTTTCATTGTTCAGTTTACACTTGTTTTGCACCCAATGCTATTGTTATTGACTTGTTTTCATTTCACCAGGTTTCAGTCTGAGAAGGAAACAGGAGACAGAAACTACGCAATAGGATACTACCTAAAAGAGAAGAAGGTTTGTTCTTTAGCATCTTTAGCAAACTAGCAAGATATTGTTGATTGTCTGCAAATGCAACCATGATGTCCTCCTTTACAGTGTTTTCCTGAAGGGGCAGATATGATAGACGCACTGGACTTTTATTTCCAGGTAGGCCCAGTTGACATTTTTCCATTGTTAAATCGAACGCTAAATAAACTGAACGCTCCATCAGAATTTCCTTTCTGTCCATCATAGTTGTGCGCCATAGAGGTCACATGTGAATCTGGCAGCATAATGGCCGCTACACTGGCTAATGGAGGCATCTGTCCAATCACAGGAGAGAGAGTTCTGAGCACAGAAGCCGTACGAAACACGCTGAGTCTCATGCACTCCTGCGGGATGTACGACTACTCTGGACAGTTCGCTTTCCACGTGAGTACAAGGATTGTCTCTATACACTGTCTGTCTTTATATGTAGTCAGAGTGTGAATTATAATGCTTTGAATCTAGCGAACTTACATTTAAAAGAATTTTTATAAAAAATTGCTTATTTAAAATTTTCATTAAAAACAATACAAAACAGTACATTTAAGTTTTTGCACAACCCTTGTTATTATACGACTTTCAATCTAGTCAATGTATTTTAAAAAATAATTTTGATTAAAAAGTGCTTATTTAAGATTAGTTATTAAAATCATTACTAGTTGAAACGGAAATTTAGTTGTGCAGTCTGTTGAGGTAATACATGTATGTTAAATACCGGAAAGCTTCAAAAAACATTTAATCAGTATGATATTAAGGACTTTTCTGCTAGCTTCTTGTAGTAAATTGTAATTAATTTTGTCATACTTACACTTGTAGTAGTAATAAACCATAGGTCTTTATATCGCAATACATGATAGGTTGGATTACCTGCTAAATCCGGTGTGTCTGGTGCAGTTCTTCTTGTGGTGCCGAATGTGATGGGTGTCATGTGTTGGTCGCCCCCTGTGGACAAAGTTGGGAACAGCGTCCGTGGAATCCACTTCTGTCAGGTGTTTCAGGCATCGTCCTGTTAGTTTATCGCTCTCTTTTTAATTCAAGTTTAAATAACTAATTTTGTAACCTTTCCATAATTAGGAACTGGTGTCTTTGTTCAACTTTCACAATTACGACAATCTGAGGCACTTTTTGAAGAAGCAGGACCCTCGCAGACTTTCTGATGATGACAGGGTAAATCTTACATTTGAAAAACAGCTTTCACATCAACCAAATTAACTAAACTCTGCTGTTAAACTCCAAAACTTGTGAAAATACCCTACATTAAGCTATTTTTTTAGACCAGTAATTATAGTTCCAATAGCAATGAACTCACCAAATCTTTATTTGGTGTTATAGAATAAGTCAGTGGTGAATCTGATGTTTGCAGCCCACAGTGGAGATGTCTCGGCTCTGAGAAGGTCATTTTATACAGTTTATGCCTTTATTACTCCATATTTTTGAGTGCTACTGAAATATAGATTACTTACTGCCCTCTTCCTCCATTGTTCCTCAGGTTTGCCCTTTCATCCATGGATATGGATCTGAAGGACTATGACTCTCGTACACCTCTTCATGTAGCTGCTGCAGAGGGTAAAATCGTTTTCTGTAAACTTCAAAGAATTTTTTAGTCCCAAACATGATTTGTTTAATCATAAGTTTAATTTGTCATCTGTTTTAGGTCACATGGATGTTGTGCTATTTCTGATGCAGTCCTGCAAAGTCAACCCTTTTGTGAAAGACCGGTACAGAGCCCTGTTTCTTTATACGGTTACCTTCAGCTTCATCCGTTTGGTGATAATTAACCTCATATCTCTTATTCAGGTGGGGAAATATTCCTCGGGATGATGCCATGCAGTTCGGCCATGAGGATTTGGTGAAGATCTTGGAAGAATATGAGCAGAAATACATTCAAACATCTCAGACTGACGCAGAAGACCGTAGTCATCAATCCAAATGTTCGTCTCTGGAGGGACGAGTGTGATCTGCTGTGAATGTAACCAACTTTAGGAATAAAGATCATGTCATCAGATATTAAGAAAATAAGAGCACATTTACGGAAATATCTCTCTACAGAGATAAAAGGCTATGTTTTGTTTTTTTTTTGTAATTTTGATGTGTAAATATACGATTTTTGTACATAATTTGTGTTACTTTTTTTTTTTAGCTTGGCATATTCTCTTGGAAGCTGTCTTGGTGTTATATATATATACAGTATAAGGAGAGTGTAAAGTATTTGTGACTAATAAACAAAACCAACCATGCCAACAGATTCTTAAGCTTACATATGTTTATGAAGCCACAATATAAAAACATTTTTAAAAGAGGTTTGCAACTATGTTCAAATATTGTCATTTAAACAACATAAATAGTGTTTTCACTGAAATGTAAAGTATATACAATTCGCTATTATAATGCCTTCTATATGTAAAATATAAATCTATAACCCAACAACCATCTAGAACAACCTAGTGACTACACAAATATATCATTAAAAAGAACCCTGATTCGGTCAGAACACGTTAGCACTATTATGATGCCAAATGTTGTTGAGAAGCATTTTAGTACATCAAGGTGGATCTGATTCAAACTAGATGTATCGAAGACTGATGTGGAAGAGAAGAAATTGTTGAATAAAGTCATTATTTTTGTTTTCTTAGTGCACAAAAAGTATTCTCGTAGCTTCATGAAATTAATGTTGAACCATGGACTATTTTAACGATGTCCTTACTACCTTTCTGGGCCTTGAATGTAGTAGTTGCGTTGCTGTCTATGCAGGGTCAGAAAGCTCTCGGATTTCATCAAAAATATCATAATTTGTGTTCTGAAGATGAACGAAGGTCGTATGGGTTTGGAACGACATAAGTGTCAGCAATTAATGACAGAATTTTATTTTTTTTGGTGAACTATCCCTTTAAGTCCCTTTCTCACTATTGCCTTCTACTGGAGAAACGATATAACCTTTAACAAAGTTGGCATGAAGTGGAAAATGGTCTTGTGGACAGAAGGTCTATGAGAGAGCTCTAACCACAGTGCTGGAGATGCTCTTCGGCCTCGCACGCACTAGAAACTTCTCACGAATCTTTATCTGCCCACAAAGCCAATGCTGACGTTGTTGTGCTTAGCAACAAAAATACATCTGATGCTTATTTTAACACACTTTGGTGTGTCAAATATTAGATATTTCTTTCATAACCAAGGGATATTTTAAAGTATATTAATCACTCAGACTAAACTGTGAATTGTATTTTTACAACATGAAAAAAAGATGTTTAACCTCAGAAGGCTATTGTTACATTGAACCATATTTAAACTACCAGTATGCTAAAAACCAATGTGTTCTGGACTCTAAAAAGAAATGAAGTCCATTTTGGTCAACTCTGACTGATACTTCCTCATAACAAGATGAGCGGTCATTGGCTGAATCTTTACTGCATACCCTGTTTGTGAACTGAAACCTCAGTAACACCAGTTGCACTTCTAAGATGCTCACATTCAAGTGCCGTTTAATCTTGCTCTTCATTTGTGTGGAAGGTAAGATGTGTATTGCTACTTATTTATTTGATTCATATGTTTTTGTAAATGCTTGGTGAGATTTAAATTTTTTTTTTGAGGTTTTCAAGAGTCACTAAGCATCAGTGGTTGTCACTAGCTCACATGATCCAATAATTTGCCTGTTTGACTGATATGTCAAAACACAAATTATTGTATAAGGGTTAACTTTAAATTACTGAATAAGACTCATCTAATCTAAAGACATTCATGGGCCAATAACCAACAGTGGAAACCACATCCTGTCATATCTCTATGTGCTAAATTTTTTAAATATAAATATGCTAAATGATACATTTTTGAAGGTTTTTCAAGATGTTGTTATGAATGTGTTTCATGTGTGTTTGGTGATACAGATGTAATGAAGTCAGTGTCAGTAACTGAGGGAGATTCTGTCACTCTACACACTGATGTTACTGAAGTACAGAGAGATGATCAGATACTGTGGATGTTTGGACCTAAAGAGAATCGAATAGCTGAACTCTATAAACAGATGATTGATATGTTTAGCAGTAATGAGACATTTGGAGACAGACTGCAGTTGGACTCTTTCACTGGATCTCTGACCATCAGAAACATCAGAAGCACAGACTCTGGACTTTATAAACTACAGATCCGCAGCAACAGAGGGAACTCGGACAAGACATTCAATGTTACTGTCTATGGTGAGACAAATATGACTTAAAAACGTATAAATGGATGTGATGTTTAGAATTGTTACAAATAAAATGTATTTCACATCTACTTGTATTTCATGCCAGCAAACTATAGCCTAGTGCCCTTTCTTAATGAATTCATCTTTCTTAAAACAAATATGTAATGCAGACTTTATGTGCTTTGTTGGATCTTCTTGTCCATCAATGGTGGTAATGTTGTGTAGCTCAATTCTGGTGTCTGTGGTATTAATATTATTATAAACATCCACTGCATAGGGAAATGCAGGGAAATATCCTACTTTCCCTTTTGTCCGAGTTTTTCCATGTTACAGCAATATACTTATATATATACTTATATATTTATTTACATGTTTTCCAGCTCGTCTGCCTGTTCCTGTCATTACCACAGACTCTTTTCCCTCCTCCTCCTCCTCCTCCTCATCAGAATCCTCCGTGTCCACATGTTCATTGGTGTGTTCAGTGGTGAATGTGAGTCATGTGACTCTCTCCTGGTACAAAGGAAACAGTTTATTGTCCAGCATCAGTGTGTCTGATCTCAGCATCAGTCTCTCTCTACCTCTGGAGGTGGAATATCAGGATAAAAACACCTACAGCTGTGTGCTCAACAATCCCATCAGCAACCAGACCAGACACATCAGTGGACTCTGTATAGGTATGTCCAGGTAGCCTACATCAGTGATCTTTCTTTTAATGGAACAATTCACCCAAAAACAAAGATTATGTAATTTATACTAATTTCTAAACCGGTTTAAAACCCGTTTGTTGGTTCACAAATGTTAATGAATGAATATTTGTATTAATGAATTAAGCAACGTTGACACAACAACGTTATGACTCACTTGATAGTCACAAATGAAGCTGATGATGACACCATGGTGTCACTTTCCTGGTCCAGTTTTCAATTGAAAAAAAATAAATAAATAGTGCGAACAACTAATTATAATAAAAGTTGAAGCTAGTGCCCTCTATTGGTAAAAAACAAAATAAAAACAACACTTCTCGATGCTGCTGCTCGTTATTTCTCGCTAATTTAAGTGGGCACTGTCTCTGCAAAATGTGAAAATTCACAGTCAGAACAAGGCAAGGCAAGGCAAGTTTATTTATATAGCACATTTCATACACAATGGTAATTCAAA